CTACCTGACAAATAATAACTCCACTACTGTAGAAGTGACCAGGGGACATCACACTGACTACTCTTCTTTCCATCCCAGTTGATGGGCAAAGTTGTCTGGTCACACAAAAGAGGGAGGCAAAGAAGTGGATCTTTAGCCTTGGGGGATGTGCTACCAACTGCGCCTTTATTTAAGGTTTTACTCTTGAGTTGTGGCGTGTGGTGATTGTCAGCTTGACACTAAATATGTTTCTGAGGAGTTTTCAGAGAGGACTAATGGAGATAAACCTACCCCTGAATGTGGGCCGTATTGCCCTGCAGGTGGAGTGCAAGACTGCAAAGCAGAAAGCCAACCCTCTCTCTGCTTGAATCCTCCAGAGAGTCAAGAAAGGCTAGCTGCCTTTCTCTCCACACTCTGTCTGCCAAGAAGGACCAGCACCCCCAGGACCACGAGCTGAAATAAACCTGACCATTCATTTTGTGTCCAGTACTTTGCCACAGCTAGGCAAAATCTTCAACACACAAATTTCTTAAAAAGTACTCTTAAAACGTGATGAAAAGAAGAAATTGTTCCTATTAACCCGGCCTGCTCAGGCTGGTTTCGCTCATAGATGTGAGCAGGCCCCATATCATGGTCAGCTCTGTTCTCAATACATGCTCCATAGTCAAACTCCCCAGGTTTTGATTTAAATGGAATTTTTAATCTTTTACCTAGCTTTGTGATTGTTCACTGTTTTGAAGGTCATCTTTTTTTTTTTTAAGACACAAGTTGATGTAATAAAAGTTCTGAGTTCACAGCTGAGCCCCGTGGAGCCGGAAACAGAAGCTGGAGCTGGCAAAGCACTCATGAGTGCCTGAAGAAGGCCTTCTCCCCTGAGTGATGGGAATTCCAATTTTATTGTCCATGTGCTCTTAATTCCTGAAGTGTGAGAGAGCGAATGTGAAATCTTACGCATGACTATTTCAGGATGAAGTCTGGAATAGGGTGGTAAACAGAAACAGCAGAAGGGAATCCTGGCCACAGCACACCCGTCCCCATATGCAGAGAGGCCAGTGGAAGATGAAGCAGGAGACTGTTAACTGGCAGCATCCTAAGTAGGAAGGGCCGAGGTCTGGGGCACAAATGGCCACTCTCCCAAGGTCACATGTGTTAAGGGCGAGATGTAGCAGTCTCATACCAGTGTGATGTTTGATTCCATCAGATAGAATGCTTCAATATGTTCTTTCAAGCTTGGTACATCTCAAGCTTGTACTTGGGTCTCCTGAGATTAGGAGTAGTCCAAAACACCTACTTTGTACAACTATGACTTGAACTGATGAAGTCAAATAGACAAATATATATATATATATATATATAGATAGATAGATAGATAGATATATACAGAAACACAAGCGCACACACACACCTTTGCTACAGAACAATCTTTTTGTACACTGTAAAGATGTATTACTTTCATTGGTTAGTAAATAACTGACTGGCTAAAAGCTAGGCAGTCAAAAGGTTAGGCAGTCGTTGGAAGAAGAAGGAAGGTGTCACAGAGTGTCACCAGGGGATGCCATGCTGAGAAAAGGTACCACCATGTGACAGAGCATAGATAAGAAGTATGGATTAATTTAAGTTGAAAGAGTTAGCTAGTAAGAAGCCTAAGCTATCAGCTGAACACTTATAATTAACAGTAAGTCTCTGTGTGGTTATTTTGGGAGCTGGCTGGTGGAAGAAAGTTGACTGGCAGTACAGAAAAATTCTGTCTACATACACTGGTTAATTGTATCCAGGTCCCTTCCATACAAATTCTCATATTTAATAAATTCAGCTCTGACCCCTGTACTTTCCCTACCCTACTTTACACTTCCATTTCATTATATAGCCTTGTACTGCATTTTAATTTTTTTCACATTTGTAATGTGTGTGAATAAGAATGACCCCCATAGGTTCATATGTTTGAATGCTTAGCCAACTTTAGCTAGAGTTTTCCTCCCTGGCCCACAGTCAGGACAAATCTCTCTCACCTGCCAGCCCCACAGCCACTCAGACCCAAACAAGTAAACACAGAGACTTATATTGCTTACAAACTGTATGGCTGTGGCAGGCTTCTTGCTAACTGTTCTTACAGCTTAAATTAATCCATTTCTATAAATCTATACCTTGCCACGTGGCTCATGGCTTACCAGCATCTTCACATGCTGTTTGTCATCATGGCGGCTGGCAGTGTCTCTCTTTCCCTTCCTGTTCCCTTAATTCTCCTCTCTGTTAGTTCCACCTATACTTCCTGCCTGGCCACTGGCCAATCAGTGTTTTATTTATTGACCAATCAGAGCAATTTGACATACAGACCATCCCACAGCAGTCAACAGGGAATGGACCTGTTTGAAAGGATTAGAAGGATTAAGAGGTGTGGCACTGGAGGAAGTATGTCACTGGGGGTGGGCTTTGGAGTTTTGAAAGCCCATACCAAAGCCAGAATTAGTTTCTCTCTCTCTCTCTCTCTCTCTCTCTCTCTCTCTCTTTCCTATCAGATCAGGATATAGCTCTCAGCTACTGCTTCAGTACCTGCTTGCATGCCACAGTGCTCCCCACCATGATGATAATGGACTAAACCTCTGAAACTGTAATCAAATTCCCAATTAAATGATTTCTTTTATAAGAGTTGTCTTGGTCATTCTGTCTCTTCACACCAATAGATCAGTAACTAAGACAACATTTCTATTTCTCTTAGTAAGATCATCTGAGTTTGAATCTCAATTTCTTCAATAGTAGTCTTTGTGACACTGGCAAAATAGCAGTCTTTGTGGTATTGTGTAAATTGTTCATTTCAGTACCTTAGTCCCTGTCTTAGTTTGGATTTCTATTGCTGTGAAAAGACACCATGACCACAGAAACTCTTTTGAAGGAAAACATTCAGTTGGGTGACTTACATTCAGAGGTTTAGTCTGTTATCATCATGGCAGGACATGGTGGTGTTCAGGCAGACATGGTGCTAGAGTCTGATATCTTGCAGGCACCAGGAAGTGAACTAAGACATTGGGTGGTATCTTGAGTGTATATGAGACCTCAAAGGCTGCCTCCACAGTGACATACTTCCTGCAACAAGACCATACCTATTCCAACAAGGCCACTAATAGTGCCACTCCCTTTGGGGGCAGGGCTATTTTTTTTTCAAACCACCATAGTCCCTTCTAGAAAATTTGAAAGACAAAATGTCCAACACAGAGTGTTACAAGGATTAAGGGAGTTGACTTGTGAATGGCAGCCATGTCCAGGCTTTTCTGTAGTAAGTCCTAAATAATGCTCACTGTTTCTGTCACTGAGCACTCAGCAGATGCTGCTTGAGCTTTTAGTGAGAATGTCTCTTATTGTTGAGACTATCTAAATTTAAATTTTCCTATTCTTGTTAGTACTTTGAGAATTCTGTACTATGTATTTTGATCATAATCACCCCTGTCCACATACCAAATGTCTTTACATTGGTGGGTATGGGGATGAGAATATGCATTTGGTCTCTTTTTTTTTTTTTTTTTTTTGGTTTTTTTGAGACAGGGTTTCTCTGTGTAGCTTTGCGCCTTTCCTGGAACTCACTTGGTAGCCCAGGCTGGCCTCGAACTCACAGAGATCCGCCTGGCTCTGCCTCCCGAGTGCTGGGATTAAAGGCGTGCGCCACCACCGCCCGGCAGGCATTTGGTCTCTTATATGGTGCTTTTTGGAATTATTTGTGAATACATGAGAAACATTTCAGGGTTTGCAGCATCAGCACTGTTAATCATACATCCACGTTGGTCCACTGCTGCTGTGTCACTGTAACCCTCTAGTCAGGTCGAGCATGCTCTGTAAGGGCTGGATTTTAGACCGTGTTTTCACCCACGCAGACTCACCGGTTAACTCAGCACAAAGCAGTCAATGCTGCTGGAATTGAAGACTGTGTATCAAGGAATAAAACAAAAGGCTTCAGCTTGGATCAGGTTTCAACTTTGTTGTCAACTGTAATCATTTGTTTGAAATGAGCTCTCCTGCATTGACTTGAGTCATAGAACTTGGAGAGAAGGATAAGATGTTTAAGTTTTTACAGTAAGGTTTACAGTTTTGTCTTTTGTATTTTACAACAGGAATCTCCTTTCTAGTCAGTGTTTTACAAAATGACCCTCATAACCACCATCACATTTTAACTGATTAATTGTTGTGACTGGTCTTCGTTGTGTACATTAGCTGTGGCAGGAGCAGTGGGAAGTCATAGCTTGAGATGGTTAATACTTGACAGAACCTAGAATCACCTAAGAGACAAGTCTCTGGGCAGGCCTGGGAGGGATTATCCTGACTAGATTAACCGAGGTGGGAAGACACATCCTGAGGGTGGTACCACTGCCTGGATGGATAGAAAGAAAAGCCTGAGCTGAATGAACACTGACATCTGTTGCTCCTATTCCTAACTGTGAGTGCCACATGACGGCAGCCTCACACTGCGGCCACCTTGCATCTACTGCCACTTCAGAGAACCTCTTGAACTGTAAGCCAAAGTAAGCCATTCCCTCTGTAAGCTGTCTTAGTCTGTTGAAGCAAAGAGGAAAGCCACTAAGACAATGCATAGCTCAGCGCTGTCGGCACGGAGGCCCCAGGTCCACCTCCTCTCTAGGTAATGCTGGGTCTTTCACTAACTCATTCAAAACGACCTTCTGGATCAATTGGAGTGGGACAAAATGAGGGAGTCTATTAAATGGAGGTGAGAGGTAGCCCATGCCTTTGACTGAAGTATGGGTATTCTGAAAGATGTTAGCACACACACAAGACATGGACAAAGGTTTCTTAAGAGAAAGTCACAACTTACAAAAATTATTTTGTGGCTACTAAAGTTGCTAATATTGGGCCAGTGAGATGGCTCAGAGGGTAAGAGAGCTTGCTACCAAGCCTGACACCTGGGTTTGATCCCTGGGACCCACACGGTGGAAGGAAAGAACCAAATTCTGCAAATTTTCCTCTGATATCCACACATGTGTATGGCATGTACATGTCCATACACACACACACACACACACACACACACACACACACACACTAGAGAGAGAGATACATGATAGATAGATAGATAGATCCATCCATACATACATACATAGATGATAGATACATACATATAGATTTATAGATAGATGATACATAGATGATAGATAGATAATATATAGAAAGATACATAGATGATAGATAGACAATAGATGGATAGAAGATAGATGATAGATGATAGATAGATAGATAGATAGATAGATAGATAGATAGATAGATAGATAGACTAAAATATGGGAGGTGGTCTACTTATTCCTCTTAAAGAATCTCCTTCTTGTGTATAGAATTGTAAGGTGGCTTACAAGATGCACTGTCCAGGGTTGTGATGATAGTGCAGTGCTGATACAGTTAAGTACCAAGTTCACATGCACTCTGGCCCTAAACAAGCATGGCCCATTTGTTGTTTTAAGTAATTTATTTCAGGTGTGTCTCTAAAAGTAGAATATTGTCTATAGTCAACTTATTTTTTTTTTGTTGTGGGGAGGTTTTTTACTCTCAAGCAAACAGAAACTTAGATAACATCCTAGGTAATATTCCATTCTTACACACCCTTACTTTTTCAAGCCTTTCTAGTTGCCTTGGATCCGAGTTCTTCAAACAATTGCCCACGCTTTGAGAGCGCTACTCTGATATAGTTTTCTTTTGTGCTTTTATTTTTTCTTAAATCTAACAAGACAATGAGCATTTACTAAATCAAATAAAATACTTAAGACAATCAGAAGAGAAAAGAGAATAGCTCTTCCTCATCTGAATTCTCTTCTCTGAAGTTGTCTATACTGTTAATGTTTGTTGTGCCTTTCTGTACTTAGAAGCACATAACACAGAAGTAGGGTAGGGACAGTTTTTTAAAGTACAAAATGTATTACATTTATGATTTTTGTAATTTGCCCTTTCCAGTTCTTGATATTCATAAGATCTTTCTGAGTTAATGCATGAAGACAGTGACATCCATGTTGATGCTTACATGGGATTCTACTGTACAGGCTTAGTGTATTTATGTAGAATCCCATGTAAGCGTCAACTCTCTAAGTTCCCTTGCAAACAATGCTCCCAAAGGCTTCTTGGTGCCTGTATCTCCATAATGTATATATTTAGTTCTTTAAGACAAATACCCAGCAGTAGTTAACCTCATCTGCCACATTCAAACAACTGGAGTCTTCTGTTTACTGCCACTGAGGTAAGATGTTTCAATTCTGAAACCCAGAGGGAGAGAGTGGGGATAGCCTTCAAGGCTTCAGTCTCCAAAAGCTTAAATCCTTAGAGGAATGAAGAAAACTTCTGGTTAGAAGAAATGTGTGGGAGACACATCATAAAAGACTGAAGAACTTCTGTTTCAGGTTAGGAAAAGTTTCTCTGGCATGATGGAGGAGGGGGGAAGCAGGAGGTAAGGGGAGGGGAGGACAGGACACTAGAGGTGTTTGTGAGTTCTCACTGCAGGCCATGTGCTGTACTTCCCAGGTGACACTCTCAGAAGGCAGCCAGCCAAGGAGAAGAGCCTGGGCAGACAGCAGAACCCCAAGAAAGAAATGCTGTGTGTTCTACAAGGACACATCTGCCCAGAGACAGTCTGCCAGTATTCTAAGGTCCCCACACAGCAGTGGTATGGGAATCTTTTCTCAGGCTCTTGAGCTCAGCATGATGGGAAAAAAGAAAGTTGGTGGACATGGAGGAAGTGAGTTGCCTGGAGTCACAGTGGGCAAGGCAAAGCCTGTGTTGACTGGTGACTACTTAAGGACAATGCTCTTTTCCTCATTCCCCAACATCTGGACATGATAGCAGCCTTAGAAAGATCCTATGGAAAACAGAACCTTGATTGACTGAGATGGACTTGCTACAAGTCAACAGCATACCAGAGGTTGGGTACTGAGACTCCTTCCCTGCACAGCTAGATTTGTGCATTAAAATGCATGTTGTAATGTTGTCTTCTTCCCAAGTTACACTCCTACCAGTAACATAGGAAGTGCCTGGCCGACTAGATGCTGTCAATCTTCGGAATACGCATATGTGATGACATATACATATTGATATGTTATGTTTAGGGAAAAATGCTTCTCATTGTTTAAGTCTGTGTTTTCCTGTCCACCAGTGAGCATCTTCTCATATTCCTGTTGCCTGTTTGCATTTCCTTTTCTGTAGAGCACTAATGCCAGTCCTGCCATTTGTCCACACTGTTTGGTGGCACCCCTTCTCTTCTATGAAACAGCTGATGATAGTTCATCCTCAGATGCTCACTGCAAAGAAGGATGCTATGTCTTTGTCTCTGTTCCTCAAAGGTAATTTTTTGATTCATTTAAAAAAAAACAGTTTTCAAGGCTTCAGATCTCATCATTGAATGAATTATTTCCATGTTTTTGTGAAGGATATGATTTTTATTAAAAATAAGAATTATGGTGGGGAAGGCATGGTAAGGACATCAAGAAATGTTTTCAGTCCTTTTTTTTTGTCATTTTGGGATGGGTGTTACTAATGAAAACTTATACTTTAAAAAGACTTCATTGGTTTCTGAAGTCAGAGAATTACATACAACGGACCATGACAAGCTATTGACTAAATTATCTTTCTTTGAGCTCATTCCAGTTACTTTATCATTTTTTTAGTGTATGCATGTTTCTCATGTTCCTCTCTCTCTCTCTCTCTCTCTCTCTCTCTCTCTCTCTCTCTCTCGTGTGTGTGTGTGTGATATGTTTGCATATACAGAGGCCAGAAGAGGATGCTGGGTATCTTGCCCTATCATTCTCTTCCTTATTCTCTTGATAAAGGATTTCTTAATTAACCTGGAGCTATGCTGGTGACCAGCCAGGCCAAGTAATTCTCCTGTCTCTACCTCCCCACACCCCACAAGGGTGGAGTAATGGCCGTGTAACCATGACCATACCTGGCTTTTTACACAGGTTCTAGGCATTTGAACTCAGGGCCTCACACTCACACAGCACGCACTTTACCCTCTGAGCCATATCCTCAGTCCTTTCCATTAGTTAAATTTTGATTTACAAAACCTTTTGCTTGTGTTGTTTTATTTAAGTTCTCAGGAGGGATGTTCTTTCTCCCTGTCTTCTGATAATGCTCTTTGATAGGTTTGTGATCCTTTTACAGCTCATAAGGCTTCTTTAGGCAAATCATGATTCACTGAAGCTGTGAATACTGCTGGGGTCTCATGGTTAGAAAAGCTCTGCTCTCAAGGTTGTACCCCCACTGCTGGGTGGTGCAAGGCATTGGCAGAAGCAGGCAAGCCCCTACTCCATCTCTTTTCTTCTCCTTTCATTTCGTTTCTTAGCTCTCTTTCTGCTCAGCAGCGTCTATGAATCAAGCAGTCTGAAGAGCTACTCGCTGTTCAAATAGAAGCCAGGTTGTTAGTCTTTACGGTGTGAAGGCTGCTTTGATGATGGCTGTAAAATGAACTCGTGGACACCCAGAACACTACTGGCATCCTTGGAGCAGGCTCAACAGAGATCAAAGCAGCCTATTGCGTGGAGGCAGCTCCCTGCGGACAGTGTTGAAGACTCCTGGCAGGCCGTCCAGGGCAGTCTCACAACTCTGCTACCTGTGTCTGCCTGTTGGAGCACACCCCAACCTGTCCCAGAGCCTCAGATTAAAGAGGGCTTTCAGTGCTCAGCCCCATTCTCGGGAAGTTGCATTCTGGGTACTTAGAAACTTATGATCAAATCTATTCATTTTTAAATGAAGCACAAATACCAGCACTTTTACCAACACTGTCCCCTTGTCTCCTCCAGGCTAACGTTGTTCTTGTGGTGTTGTTTACCATATTTGAGATGATTTTAAATGTTATGCAAGTGAGTACCAGGGTGCCAGGCCAGGAACAGTGAGCTTCCTGGGTATTAAAACCAGGGCTGGCCAAACTCCATCTACTGCTCACCAGAAGGGTCAAGAATACACATTCATTGCCCTAAAATCACTTTTATTCCCTTTGCCAGCCAGATCCTATGTTCTTACCCAACCTGGCACACATCCAACATTTGGCAGCAGAAAGAGTCTATTTTATTGAAGTGGTTACACCCAGCAGGATAAAGACTGAAACCACACACACTTTATGAAGATGCTTCTGCAAGATGTTTGAAAATATCCAATATGAAATAAAAAATCCTACTCACCTTAGTGTAGGTGATTCCTACTGGGCAGATGCAGGTGCCCCATCTGGAACCCTGTTTAGTCATTTCCTATGGGGAAGCTGGCTTTCTCTTTTTGTTTGTTTTTTGTTTGGCTAAGCAGAGGAAAACATCTTAACTTACCCGAGAAATGTGGCTTCCTCCACGGAAGTTCGGATTCCTTCATGCACACTTGAAAGCAAGGGTACATGACTCAGACTACCAGATTGGGCAAGTAATTCTTCAGTCATAAAAAACTTTACCCTAGAACTCCATTTTTATCAGTCTGGGGATGGGTAATCCAGAGACAAAGGGGCTCTCTTAAGTGGAGGCTGTGGGCAGCCTTTTTCTGGAGTGACAGCTTGGAGTATTATGGATCTGTGAGGTAAGAGGAGCTTGCCTTCAGGTGGATATTGTGACAGTCTTGTAGAAAAATGAAAACATATCATGCTGCATACACTATGACACATTTAACACTAATAAAGGGTTTCAAGTGCAGCGGGATTGTCTGAGGCTGTCTACCCTGCAGGTGTGTAGCCAGCAGCAGACGCACTGGCTTACTGGAAGTGAAAGTAGAAAAACATAGAGCTGGCTTTTTGGGCTTCCTGCACATCTGTTAGAGCTGAATGCATGGGTGGAAACAGAGAAACAAGCTACATTCTGAAACCAATGAGCAAAATTCCTTGTTAGTACAGAAGAGAGCTAATGGCACATAAAAAATAGATACGATTAAGACAGTTCATTGGCTGATTGGATGAGCTCATAAGTCACCTCTGAACAGAGTGGGAGTCCCGTGTCTAGTGGTCATACACACTTCTCCAAGGATTTTACCACTATTACCAAATGTATCTAATAACCCCATGAAATACACAGACTAATACTGCTGTCCTCGTTCAAAGGCGAAGAAAGCTAAGGAGAGCTCAAAGTAGAGTGGTTGCCCAGAAGGTGTAAGGACCTGGGTTCCACCCTCGGCATAACAGTAAATGGAGACGTGAATAAATGTGTGGGAACTGAGTCCCTGAGGAGGAGAAGGAGCTTAGGAGCCCTAGCGAACCCGGCCACGCACGTGGATCTGAGCCCAGATCTCAGGCCAGAAACCAGTTCCAAATTCCTTCTATGACCAGTGTGCTGTATGTCTGCAGGCTTCAGTCACTAGCCCACTACCTTTAAGCTCCTGTTGACCCCATTTATGGAGAAACAAGTCAGAATAATTCCATCTCCTCTCACTAGAATGTTATATATTCTAATAATAAATAAGTAATATATATGTATAAGAGAAAAGATAAGAAAATGTTAAAAAAATAATAAAATAATCAATGCTTATAAACCACCACAAAATAACTGTTCATATTTTTTGAGTGATCCTGTTACTTTCATGGGGTAAACTTATGCATTTATATGGATTAATGTTTCCAGTATTAAAAAGGAGATCATTTGGTGTAGAAAGTGACTGTGTTTTAGGTTGACATACAATGTTGAGAAAAATCAGTCAACTCCGGGCTCTTCAATGGTGTGTGCACTTTATAATCATCTATTTTTACGTTCTGTAGGCATAAGAATGTGTCCTGTTTTATCTTTAGGGTTTTGCAAGTTTTCAGCTCATGATGTTACAGTGACTGACTAGTGGCTAGGTTTTGCAAATATCCTTATTGTTTCCCTGAAACTCCCTTCTAGAGTTCAAATTGCCATTGCAGAGAATACATATATTTTTACAGTTCCCATTAGGAAATCAGTGGAGAGAGGGGCCTTGTTTCCCTACCCCTTCAGCAGCGCTGGCTTTTACAATGAAACCAGAGCCCAGGTCTTTCATACAGCTGCAGCGGGGAAGCAGCCCGAGTGTAGTAAAGAAGGAAGCTCGCCTGTTCCTTGCTTTTGATTAATAAGCCAGACAAGCACAACCCAGTTTTTGCTACACTTGCCTCCCTCCAAAAGCCCAGCTTCTGTAATGAAACAAGATCCCTAAGAGAGGACATTAAGGAAGATTGCCCACAATCCACACTTCAAAGCCCCAAGGAAATGCCACCAAGGGCAAGCCTGATCCCTCAGTGGACCATGACCATGCACCTTCTCCTATAATCCCTTGGTTTTCAACAAGTTAAGTAGGGTTAATCCAGGTCAGCACTTGGGAAGAGTCCTCTAAAGAAACCCTGAGTAAGCCAAATGTTGTCCACGATTGTGTAGATGTCAATTTGACGCAAACAGTGTGGGTGCCACGTTCCCAAATACCTGCCTCATAGTCAGAAATTGTCAGCTTCTTAGATATGGCTGGTACCGAGAGCCTAATTGGGAGCAAGCTCAGTCTGGGGTCTTAGAGTTCTTGGAAAGCCAGGGAAACCATCGGCCTGGTCTCACCTGATTGGCTCAGGATGCTGAAATAACCACCATAGTCCCTCATGCAGAAAAAAGACAGCCCCTACTTTGTTGTTGGAAAATGGTTTAAGAAAGCAAGAGGGACTTGAGCTGGGATGATCATATTGCACTTTTGGGCTGTCAACACAAGCCAAATGCAGAGCAGATGAAATGATCTAAGCTCTTCAAGGAAACTGAAAAATGTGGACCAAAATACATTTTCAGCAAGAGCCTGAAATCGTAAGGATGCTCTATCCCTGCCCGGCTCCATCCAAGTGCACCCAAACCTCAGTGTTTCTTCAAAGACCTCATAGAACTGTCAAAAAGGGAAAAGGGTCAGTTGTAGTGAGCCAGAGAGAATGGCCATTAAGAGACTGCAATGCAGGATAAGGGTCCTTTCTTTATATGTAGCATGTATTGGCGTGTTTTGGGAGCACTATTATAGCATATAAATTAAATTTGCAATCCTAATGTTCTCCATAAGAACTGTGATACTCAGAGAAGTATGTATTGGCTACAAAATAATAATTAAAAAAAACCCATCAACGTGGAGAATGCCATAAATTATGGTGGTATTTTTCTTATAGTTTCTGACATAAAGTAGAAAAGTTCCTGGAATTCTGATTATAACTAAACATGTCATCTCAGTTTGTTTTTAACTGGTGGGTTCCAAAGAGAATTGAAAACAACGGATGAATGGAAAGTCTATAGATTTGGAAAAAGTTTTTATTTTTTACCTTTAAAGAGTGATTAATCATTTAATGGTTCTATTGACTTTATCCATACTAAAAGTTCTAATATGAATCAATAGTCGAAGCAAA